CGCTCTTCCCAACAAATATTTTTTTGTGATACTCAAGCGCTTAAAATTCATAGAGCTCGACGTGGCAATATCTTTGACGGTCGAATTTATATTATTCGATTATTATTTCATTAACGACGCATGTGGATTCAATGCGAATTTAAGAAAGCACATTTTAATAGAAGTTGAGACATTTGTTATATTTTTGAGTTTAGCATAGATCTCGAAATAATAATTTATAAACTTATATATAATAAATAATAAATTACGAAGATTTTTTTTTATATATACATTAAAGATTTTCTCATATTTTCTTGAAAAAAAGATTAAAATCTCGATGTTTCAAATTTCTGCGCGTTATCTGATATTCCTGCCTTCTTCTCCAATATGTCAACAAACATGATTGATCGGCTCGACAAAGATACCGCCACCGTTAATTACATTTTAGTTTTACTTTAGTTTTATCATAAGTTACATGAATCTTAAGTCAATGTGAGATGCCCTGTCTTATGTTTTATGATTTCTTTCTTGAAATGTGTGTGCTTTTTCCATTTTGTGATCTTGTATTTTTTGTTCCATTGTGCAAAAAGAAAAGAGAGTGCACACATGGGTTCAATCTTAACGAAATACAGCGCCGAATTCTTGTCATTTTCGGGAACGATATCACTACTTTTTTTCGATCGTCGTCCGAATGACTCTTTTTTTTTACACGCCGTTCCTTTTCTGGCTCGCAAAATAGAAACGCATCCTTTGTAATTTAAAAATTCAACGATGTTAAATTCGGAGAATTTCTCCAAATGGATCTTCAAGTAAGAAATTTCCGGTTTCAGAGAGGACATATTCCTAGATGTTTGAATCTTTGAAGTTCTTGATTTCTTAGATTTTTGAATTTCGAGTTCCCGAATCTTTAAATTCGTGACTTGTTAAATTTCTGAAACTTATCGGATTTTCGAATCTTACCTGAACCGTTTTATTCTACTTCATTTTGCCTACATTTGTGCGCGAATCTCGTGCTCCTAAACTCGAGTCGAGTTTCACATAGAGATCGTTCCTTTGACAATTACAATTATATTGTTGTACAATCGTCGTGTCTAATTCGAAATTTGCAAATGCGAGCGAGAGAAGGAAGGGACGGGACGGTAGATTTCAGGAGCAAAAAAACAGAGAAAGAAATTATAAACGCGGGCTAAATGGTTCTCGACGATATCAGATGTAAGACTGATGACAAGTGTAAACGCAAGGTGTGTGTCTATCGGTTTGGTTTTAGCCCTGAGCAACTGCTCTGAGAGCGGAGGTGAGCCGGACGCTATGCTGGACATGCACCATCCAGGAACCGGGATCGACTCGCACCATCCGCAGTTTCACAACTCCTATGGTAATATAAAATTCATCATTAATAATAGTAATTAATCGCTCTCATTAATCCGCGCCACTGTTTCTTCCGTCGTTCTTTTCATTTCTTTCCGTGTGTTTGACATTAAACAATCTTCATCGATAACACAATGAACAAGATACCATCTTCTTATCATTATTATTCATTATCTCATTTCGGATATTTGTTAATTCCGTTTGTCGGATGAAACATTCAAGCGAAATTATAATTTAGAGTGCTTTTAACGTTTCTTTTGTATTTTTCAATCTACGAAAAAGAATAATGCAAACTTCTTCCTATAGTCCTTTAATAATTCTCAAGTACAAATTGGGTCACGAATTTCCATCATTGAACCGAACAAAATTAATAATGACGGCAGCTGTTCGACATGAGACTTTAAAGAGCTCTCTTACTCGGCGTGTTGGGATTGATAGATTCCATCAATTTGGATGTCGATCCGCGGTTTTTCGAGCATTGCCTTAATAGCGTTACCGTTAAACTTGTTTGCGGGAATACGTTATCATGTACAAGAGTAAAGCGGGAAAATGAGAATATCTCGGTGATTTCTCGGCGACGTTATTCGTCGTATCTACAATAATATCGCAGAGTTTCGGAGCGCTCCATAAATTTATTATAAGCATCTTCGCTGTCGAGTTTCCTCGAAATCGTATATCGAGGGAACATCAAATGAACTCGCATATAAAACGCTTGAATTAATTATTAAATTTTTTTCAAATGAAATCCTAAGTCCTGATAAAACGTGATGTCTATCATTTTTCGTTAATTTATCATTTTTATCCTCTTTAGATTTTCCTCGAATGCGAACGAGCGTTTTTTACAAAGTCATCGTCACATTTTACGAGAGTTTAAGTCAGAATTTAAATTTTACATTCAACTTCCTTTTTAATTCGACGATCGAAAGACGGACGGCATAGATCCGAATTTGACTTGCAGCCGAAGCAGGATGTCTCGATGATTAAATGACGAATAGCTCGCCTTTATCCGGCACAATCGAATTAATTAATCGGCCCCTCGCTTTATATCAATATAATCCGTTCTAGTGGATTGTTAAATAATATGCGATCCTAATCGAAGTCTCTTGCGGAGATTCTCAAGAGCCAACAGACGTGAATTTTGAATAAATTCGAGAAGAAATCGCGTCTCTCTCTTTCCTTCTCTCTCGATTACGACACTTGGAACCGATCGGTTCGATAGATTAATTGACGAGACTTGCGATAGATTTTTAAACCAATCCATCGTGATTGAATTTATAGACGTATTTATGGAACTCGATATGCATTTCATGTCTGCACATTTTGCTCTTTGACTAATATTTTCATTCGTTCGCTTAATCAAAAAGATAGAGATCAGAAAGTATTTTATTCAGATCTGATTCCAAAAGTTGGACATTCGATTATAACTTTAAAAACGATCCCTTTTGCCGGTAAAATGATATTTGGGAACGCAAGCTTCAAATTTTGATAAAAAATTGCAAGAATCTATTAAAGTAGAAATTAATAGTCAAAAGGATGGTGAAAAGATGATGAAGATTCGTAAACAAATTTCGTTAAATATTCCTATGCTCATATTACGATTTCATTTTCTGTGAAAAAGCTAACTGCAAATTTATCAAGAATTCTCGGAATACAAGAAAGTTTCAGAACACAACGCGCGGATCGGTTCGTTGGTTTGGATATTATTATTATTCAGCCGGGGAAGATCGCGGGTTTGCTCTCGCGAGAGCGACCGAGTTTTCTGCCGAATTAAGCGGCAGCGAGCGAGTTCTGATCTGAACTTTCGGAAACAACAAATCCGCCGGAGCTCTCGCTGATTGAACGCGGCTTCGTGCAGGGGAACGGAGACACTGCCGAAAACTCGAAAAAAAAAAAATGAAAGAAAAAGAACCAAGGGAAAAAAATGGAGAATCGAGATCGATGCGTCATCGTCCTGAGAGTCCTCGCGAAACGCGAATACACGTCGCAAAAGTATCAGTTGACGGAAAGTAATCTCGCTTACTTGGGCGGTTCATTGAAATCCCACGCTAAATTTCAATCTGACGTGTACAAAAGTCGGGCCCTTTCCCTCCTGCTCCTTCTGTACCCATCTCGATTCGGTGCCTCGAGACTCCGCTATATCGCGGACATAGGGACTCGGAGCTCCAGGCAACGGTCCATTTCCGCTATCCTCATCTTCCCCATTTTCTCTCCTCTCTCTCCGAGGCGGATACGACGTCTGGACCAACGTATGCGTATATACAGTGTGTCCCGGAACCGGGCACTCCCCTCGCGCGGGATCTTGAATAAACTTGCAAAGTTGAATATTCTCAAATTTATATATCGGGTTCTAAATATTTGAACGACGAATTGATATAAACTTATCGAATTACGTATCCCTGGGATTCGCAGATTAAAATTAAAGGGAAAATTTGAAATTTTCATTTATTCCGAATTGGTATAAAATTTTTGTAAAATTTTGTATATATATTTGAAATAATTTGTAAACAATGCAAGACTTGTTATATTCACAAGTTTAATATAATAAAAGCTTAAATAATTAGGCATCTATTGATTAAATTTAATAATAATTTATAAAATTTTATTACAATTTCGTTATCTTTCAGTTAAATAAATTCAGTTAAATTTTGAATGTTTGCATCATTGAATCTTGGAATCTTGGAATTCTAATCACTATTAATTTGCTCTCTTAAGATTCCAGAAAAACAGAAAAAACTTTGAATTTATACATCAATTGAATAATTTTTGAACAAGTTTTTCAGTTTTCAAGTTGATCCTATATATTAATTTCGCAGCTGAAAAAAATGATAATTCTACACACACCCTGTATGTCTATGATATCTCTTCTTCTCTGTCTTTCTTTTCATCTGCCTGAAGTCCTTTAAGGCCCTCTCTCGCCTCTCTCCTATTCGCGATGCATCCCTAACGTCCGTTACCCTCCAATATCGAACGCTGTGGTATCGGTTTATATATATATACGGATAGGATGAATACATTGGGCGTACCTAATTAAATCTGGGGAAAACGACGTTAGATTTTCAATGTCCGCGATAGATAGGGAGAGAGAAAGAGAGAGAGAGAGAGAGAGAGAAAGAGAGAGAGAGAAAGCTTTCTTCCCCTCCTTTTCACGGCATCTATTAAATCCACAACCCTTAAAAGCACGTTTTATTTCGCATACGTCAAAAGTTGACGACCTTGAAAAAAATCTGAGAGATTTTAAATCTCAATAGTATTAGTATATGTAAAGATATGTATCGTATAATTGCTAATAATAATAGTACATCATATTAATCATATTAATAATTAATTATATTAATAATTAATTATATTAATTATATTAATTATATTAATATTTTGATATAAAGAAGGATTGTCCAAGAGATAAAAAAAAGATGACGCGACAGATAAGGACCGTCTTTTTTTAAGGCAACGAGTGCTCTTTTCCTTTCTGCCACCCTCACATGATCCCAAAAAAGGCTCGATTCTTTTTACATGATTTTCGTACGCTTCCTTGACGCTCTCGCGGTTCAAGTATTTATTGTCCGGCGACGTTGAAAGGCTTCGATGAAATGAAACAAGGGGGTGACGGCTGAAAAGAGGGAGAGGGGGAGGGGAGGAGATACGACGGCTTTTGTTCGGCGCGGATTGAAATTTAGCGTAGAATTTCAATGAGAGAGAAAAATAGAGAGAGAGAGAGAGAGAGAGAGAGAGAGAGTCGCCGAGAAGCGCGACGAGATTACCCATCTCAGCTGCTTCGACGTAGAACTCGCTCGTTCCCGCCATGTTGTCTGATTTATGCATGAAAGGGGCGGCATCTCGCAGGCTGGCGCGATCGGCCTTTTTCTTCCCTTTCATTTTTCCCGCCCCTTATTTTTTCATCGCTATCACCGAGTTGTTGTCCGTTATTGGCTGAGCCTCCGTCATCAGAATTCCTCTCGGAGAAATTCCTCTCGATAACACGCATATCACGCACAGGATCCTTTGGATAATTAATATCAGCTGTTTATATTTATCAATTTTTTTGTTTGTCTGTGAAAATAAGATGTCAAAACGCTTCGCGCATCAATGAAGAATTTCTCTTTGTGATAATTACTTAAATTCGACATCTTCAACATTTCTCGAGGTTCCAAAAAGTTCGCATAAGACACTCAATCAAAAGTTCAGAACTTGCGTCGCACTGTAATTACATCACAAGTATCGACGAATGACCGAACGTCACGATTCGTCAGAGATGATGCAAAAAAGTCTTTCCTCGCGAGCGATGACATATTACAGTCACGAAATAATTTTCAGAGATACTCTCGCCGAAGAAACGTAAGGGCGGTGTATTTACTCCGTCTCATTGTCGCAAAAGAGTAAAAGCAAAACGGGGGCAGCAACATTTCCGCCCCTCCTTCCCCAAGTTCGCGATATCCTACGCCGGCTTTATTTTGCGAGGTAAGATCCGGTCCCCCGAGGGCGAGATTCGGCAGGATCTTTAGAGCCGGCTAGATGGGAATGGGCGCCTCCGCAGCGCCCGTCTAAACATCTCCGCGGAGCTAATTAACGCGTTACTAATGAAACTAATTGCTATCCTACTAGACGCGTCTTTTGATCCAACATCGTTTAAAGATTTCGCCGTAATTCGACACACTTGTCTTGTCAGTCGCACGCCCACCCGTGTAATGCACTTTCCGCATTAACTCTCGTCCCCCCCTCCCTCTCCCTCCCCTATCTCCTTCACATCGCGTCATATATGTCGATTTAAATAATTTTATTTTACTATAGATCTCTCAAAGAATTATCTTATAATAGCGTAATTAACAGATTCTGTAATAAACTTGAGCTATGTAAAATAATGTGTGGTTCAGTTACAATATTTTTAATTATTTTTTAATTGCTGCTCTATATGTTTATAAAAGTAAGAATAATCGAAAGAAAAAATTTTGATTTATATCAAAATTTTATTTTCCATTTCAAAATTTAATGGAATAATTTTCTTTGAGAACA